TAGAGGAGCGTTCAAATAAAAACCTGCCCCATTTGTGTAAACCGTGTAAACCAATCTCATCCATCCATTTTCTTGATCAATGGTCAAGGTTAGTTTACTTTATTTTAGGAAATTAAAAATATATATATATTAAAACTTTATTTTATTTCAACAGTAAAGGCAAAAATGATAAACAAAATTTAACATTTGGTAACATTCTTTTAGATATTAATGACACTATTTTCATTTTTTAAAGCAATATATTATTTTTAAATTTAAATCACATCCATCAATAAAACATATTAATATAAGACACCATATTCAATTATATGAAGTGAATCGTTTTAAAATTTGAATTACATTATATGAACGAAATTGGTTTCACMATGAAAATGTTTCGGTTCACATAATTTATTTGCAATAAGACCCGGTTTCACGTTCATGAAACCTGTTTCATTTTCYTTTTCATAATTTATTTTCAAAATGCACCGGTTTTATTTTCCTTTTCATCAACAAAATGGATCAACTACACCATCAATGCAACGGTTTCACCATAAAAATGTTTTGGTTCACCTAATTTATTTGCAACATGAACCGGTTTCACGTTCATGAAACCTGTTTCATTTTTCATTTCATAATTTTTTTCAAAATGCATCGGTTTCATTTTGCTTCTCATAAAAAAGATTAACTACACCATCAATGCAACGGGTTCACCATAAAAATGTTTCGGTTCACCTAATTTCTTTGCAACATGAACCGGTTTCACGTTCATGAAACCTGTTTCATTTTGTGGATTTTTTTTTGTTCATCTATGTTTTGATGATTTCATTCTATAATTCAATTGTTTCATCAAGACACATTTCCTGATTATAATTCATGACAATATATGAAATCCAAATTTTTAATATTTTAATATAATTAAATATTTAAATGTTATCATTTATATAATTTCCTTTATTACGTTTCTTTAATTAAGATTTATTAATAATTTCCATATTTAATAGAAAATATTGTAAATGACCGAAATACCCTTATTAATTAAATTTAATCAAAAAAAATTCCTATTGGTCGAAATTGATTTACACAGTTTCTTAATAATGCATGATTTTTATTTGAATGTACCCCTATATATATATATATATGTGTGTGTATTTTATTAAATGGCTGCTAAACGAAATGACCATACACCATACGGTTGCATCATACTTTTAAATTTAGCAAACAGCTATAAAAGTCGGCCGTTTCACGTGGAAACTTTAAGTTTTTCGCTTTATTTTATTAGTCAAATTGAACGAACCTTCGTGCTTTCTAAATAGAGTCGTCATATACTAATTTTTTTCATCTATATATATATATATATCAAAATTAAAATTCGCTTGATTTATTTATATTATATTATAAATTATTTGACAAAAACTTTTAAAACTAGTTTTTATGCATAAAATTTATTGATGTATATTACTTAAAATTGAAGATTATAAATAATTGTATATAATTACAATTTACTAAAGCTCCATGTTTGAATTCGTGTAACTAACTGTAGATAAAAATAATCAAATTCAAAATAAACATTTTATTTTAGATATAGAAAATATAAAATATAATAAGGATAATTACTGAGTTTTGATTATTAATATTTAATTATTATCATTACAAAAAATTATGTTATTAAACAAAAGTTAAATATTTTGTTATTAATCATAATTAAAAAAAAATTGAACTAAAAAAATTACACAAAAGAACGAAAACTTTTAAATAGTTAATTTGACAATAATTTTGATATATGTTTTTCAAAATTTTATAATATTTCAAAATTTATATTTTATTCAAAAATAAAAATGTTATTGTTTTTTCAAAACCACAGAAAACTATATTATAACATCGACGACAGAGACATAATAAAATAAAACATTAAAATTGAAATGTTTCTCGTTGTATTGTGCAAGTACCCTTCTAGTATTTTCTAAGATGTCAATTCATATAGTTTGAGTGTGTTTAAGAACACCCTTTATTTACTATATCTCTTCGGTGGTTTTCGTTTCGCTTCGGATATGTTTTTCTCGACTTTTTGATTTTGTACAGTTTCTTAACTTCCTTGTTTTGTATTATTGGTTGAGTTTTGGATGATCGACTGATGCTTTTAGTCTTGGCCCCTTTTTTAATTGCATCTCAATTGTTTTTGTTGAGGGTTTTTGTATCTACTCTGTTTTATTCTATATTTTTAATGATATGTTGTCTTTCAAAAAAAGATAGGTTCAGATTATTATATATATTCTAATTTTCCAATTTAATAATCAGTTATTGTTATATTAATAGTTTTTCTAATATATTATTGAATACAAGCTAAGTTTATGATATATTAAAACAAAACAAAAATAGATGGTCTTGTTAACAAATTATTTATATGATTAAATAGAAAGTTATATGATAAAATAGAAAATCGTATATTTACATAAAGAAAAAATTTACTATATGGTAAGATAATTCATAAAAGTTAGAGAAAATTACGTTATACTATGATTCATGTAAACTAAAATTATCATATGTAAGAATATATTCAAAATCAACTTTGGTATAAATGATAACTTACGAGAAATTAAAAATATGATAGGTTTTAAGGGTGGTCATCCCGTGAGGGTGAGCAGTAGCGGATCCAGAATTTTTGTTCAGTGGGATCATCTTTAAGATAGACTAAAGGCCCGCAACTTCAAAACTCGTCTTCAGTTCGGATTGCAGGCTGCAACTCGTCGTTGTTATTTTGAGATCATATCTAGTATTCAGAGTATCATAATTTATCTTGTGATTTAGAATAAATGAAATGGTTATTTGAAATGTAAATAAAAAGTAATGATTTTGATTGCATTACGAGTAAATAAAGTGAACGTGTTTCTGGGTATAATTTGGTGTATAAATTATATATTGGAATAATCATACAAAAGTGTGTTTTTAATTAAACCCTAACTTTTAAATTTTCTGTGTTTTTGCGGTAATTCTTAATTGCATATATATATATGTATGTATATATATATATATATATATATATATATATTTTTTTTTTTTTGCATTGTGCATTTTACAATAAAAAGGATTAGTTTCGACTTGTTAACTATGAAGGGTGGAGAGTCGTACACTTCCATTTGCAATTTAAGTAATTAAATATTATTATAAATCTGAAATTTTATCCCAAACCCTGTACAATAATCCTCGTTATTAATTATATGATAAAAACTACATCATAATCTCATTATTTAATACGAAAAAACAAAGGGGAAAAATAATGCAGCAAGAACAAGAGGGCCATGGATCATCATTCCTATACCAATCAAACAGATCGTCTTTAATTTCTTAAACATCTTCAAAAATAAAGGAAAAATCCAAACCACACAGATTCACATAAACGTTCAAGGATGAAAATTTACACCATAGATTTGTTCTTCGTTGTTGTTGGATTTCTCATTTGGATCTTGTGTTCGATTGGAGATGATTTTCTGTACTTGATTCTCAGATGGATGTTGACAATCTTGATTCTCCGATCATTTTGGCCGGAATTTGTTCTCAGCGATCTTAGCTAACGACTGGAGGTTGCATTTTACGATGGTGTCAACAAAACCGAAAGTTTCTTCCTTTGTGTTCCCCGGCGGTATATCAACGACGTAAGACTCAACGACGACTGTACCATTTCCGGTTGGTGTAGGGTGGAGGGTGGTGACGGAGCGGTAGTTAGCAAGACGGTGATCACCGCCGACGACGCTGAAACTAAGAACATGGCGCTCGTCGTCAAGGATCTCGAGGCGTTCGGTGGACTTAGCGGCTGGGAGACCGGAGATGACGTGAACTTCTCGTAGGGTTCCGACGTCTCCGTTTCCATCAACAACATGGCAGCTTTTAACAAAGTGTTTATAAGCTTGTGGGTTGTCGAAGCGCCGGACGACGGACCATACGGTGGACACCGGCGAGTTAATCTGTTGGATGACGGCGGAACAGCACTGGTTTTGACCTACTGCATGGGTGTGGTATCGGGCAACGGAGTCAGGAACCCTGTTGGTGGCACAAGGCCGTGATATTTGCTTGTTGCAACCGCCGGTTGTGGTGGTGGCGATTCTTTCTAGCAAGAAAGATGATGGGTTTTGTGGATTAGAAAGCATCGTCAATGGATGGATGAACCTTCTTGAATCTTGATTTGCGTGTATATATATGAAGATGAGGTTGGTCAGTTTCCCACTTTCTTCGAGGTGGTTGATGGTGTTTCTCCAATGGCCGATTTGCAATTTGATGACAGAGAGAGATGGTTTGGTGGGATCTTAAAAGTGGGGGAGGAGGGGGAGGTTTAATGGCAGTTCATGTGAAATCAATAAAATAAAGGGCTAGTTGGTCCAGCCCTGTGGAACATAAATAAGCCTAGTAGCACAGACGTTTTCAATTTCACTTTGTTTCATCATATACAAGTTTTTGTCGGGGCATAATCGACACATATTTTTATGTGGTTTAAATATGTATCATCAGTGCCATTTTTGGGGAGGGCAGCATACAATAAATATGGCCTATATTTTTTTTTCATACTTGTATAATGTATTGAGATACATTTTAATTTTAATGTTTTGTTTTTTTATCTCAATTGATGTTATAATATAATTTTATGTGATTTGAAGAAAACGATAATGTTTTTATTTTTGAATAAAATCTAAATATAATAAAAAAAATATTGATATTAATACCAAATTAACTATTTAAAATTTCTCATTTTTGTGTGTTTCTTTAATTCATTTTTAAAATTTTTTGGTTTGATAACATATATAATTTTTATAAAGATAATAATTAAATATTTTATTAAAACTCAATGATTATCTTAATTATATTTTAGATTTTTTATATTTAAAATGAAATGATTATCCATTATTTGATTATGTTTATCTGCAGTTAGTTACACGAATTCAAACATGAAGCTTTAATAATTTGTATTTACACAAAATTTACTTGTAATCTTGAATTTTAAGTAATATATATAAATAAACAGTTTTTCATGCATAAAAAATGATTTTTAAGAGTTTTTATCAAATATCTTATAATATAGTATAGATATACAATATAGTATATAGTAGTAATTCAAAAAAGTTAATAAATAAAAGAGATAATTTTTTTAGTATCTAATATGGTCCAAAAAGAATTTTATATAATAATAAGGGCTCAAATATGTATTAATTTAATTACATTGGAAAAGAAACTATACAAAAAAAAATTAATTAGATGTTCACTTTATAGTATTGTTTATTGTTAAGTTTTTTATTTACTACTAAAATCTAAAACTATTTTGTTTAGAAAACATTGATGTATCTTCCATTATTCATCTCCAGAACTTTTGATTATTTCATACACAAGAATATTATTTTGCATTACAATATAGTAGATTTCTTTTTATTAAATAAGAAAACTCCAAACCTTTTGAAAAAAATTATCAACAATATGAGACGATCCAATATATATTTATATTTACGATTTCAAAACTATCATGTTTTTTAATACATTATTGACAGTGACGGATCCAAGATTTTTGTTAAGTGGGGTCACCTTTAAGGTAGACTAAAAACCCGCAAAATCGTCCGATGTGTTTTTAACCTAATTACAACGTTTTCGAGGGAATTTTAAAGTTTTTTGGTTGATTTCGAAGGATTTTTTAGTGTTTTTGTCGATTTCGAATAACTTTTTTGGTTTTTTTGATTGATTTCAACAACAAAAAAATTTGTTAGAGTAACATTTTTGATTGGGGTTGGGGACCCATGGAAAAATGTAATGGGGGAAAGTGAAAGGTAAATCATGTAAAACCTAAATTTTAACCTATGAATTTTTGTTTTTGAGTTTTTGACTGGGGTCCCTTCCCCCCTCCTTTAAACCACTACATCCGCTCCTGATTATTGACTCCTTGTTACCTAACCTAATATTAGGTGCATGGATTTTATGTACTCTCATATTGCTAAAACAAGAATAAGATCTCAAATTATAACCAAGATAGACTTTTGATTCTTAGATTGATGTTTTTAATAAGTTTATTTCAACCCTAAAATTTTAAAATGGTGATGAAAACATCAATATAATTTGACATGGAAACCCAAATGATCTATAATGATTTATATAAAGTGTTACTCTGAATAGTCAACATTGTGGTCGCCAGTTCCAAATGATGTCAATCTATATAATAAACATATATCATAGAATGTAGTTGGGTGTAGAATGGATTTATGATGCTATGTAAAAATAATATGATATAGACTATTAATTTAAAGTAATTATTGATTGATTTTTTCTATTAATTATCGGAAAAATGGTTTTATATAAATTATTTGTTTTTAGTTCAGTGTTATTCTGATAATGAAAACAATATATTGAACTTTCTTTCATATTTATCGAGGACCCATTTTTACTTCTCGTCCAAAACCTATAAAATATCAGAAATAGACCTATGTATCATTAAAGTTCATAAGAAATCTATGGAAATATTAAATTTAGATATTAATTACAATTTTCTTTTTCTTTTTCTTTTATAGAAAGAAGGGGATTTTATACCATCTAAATTTTGATATTAATTACAATTTTCTTTTTCTTTTTCTTTTATAGAAAGAAGGGGATTTTATACCATCTAAATTTTGATATTAATTACAATTTTCTTTTTCGTAAATGATTGTACATTTAAACTTGTAAATTTATTCGGTTTTCAAAATCCAGACATCACGCTTGACAAAAATGACAATAAAGAATACAAAATCAACTTTCTTTGAACTCTTTTATGTTAGAAAAGTTGCAACATTTACTTTGATAATAGCAAGAATAAGCCAAACTTGACTCAATTTAAGAAAAAAACGTAAAAGCCTTGACTCGAGCGGAAATACGATGAGTCTGAAAACTCTGAATTATATTTATATTTATAACGCTCCATCAAATACTGTAAATCACTATTTAAAGAATACTAGCATCAGATAAAAAGCACATCATTAAGTAAACATTTTCATTCTATATATATATATATATATATATATAAGTGATATAATAGATACTTAAACTACATTTGTTATTTTAAGTATTACAATAATCAAAACTCTCGTTAAGAAAAAAATGTATCATTTGCATTTTTTTTGCACAATTTTTTTTTATCAATTGGTTGGTTTTGATTTCAACCATTGTTATAGATTTCAAAGCTCCATCACGCTTTTATACATCCATCATCTTCTTTCAAACTATCATCTTTCTAACAATGTGAGATAATGAAAGTCAACCTTAGTTCAGATTTGAGGACCAACCAAACCTCATGTTGCCAAATCATCATCATTGGTTTCACTTTTATATTTGCACAATAATTTTTACCATTTGGTTGGTTTTGATTTCAACCATGGTTATAAATTTTAAAGAGGGTCATCTAAAATAAGACAAATATATGATGCAAACCCCATGATTTGGCACAAATGTATCTTATCCACCTTTCTTATACAGTTCCCTTTATTCAAATCTTTCAATTTTTCACCAATGTAGGACAACTAAAACTCAACCACAATTCATCATTTGACAATACTCAATGGTGTCATCTCAATACCCCAGGGTTTTCCTTTTACATATATAAAGATAAATATTTTTACCATTTGGTTGGTTTTGATTCTAATTATGGTTATACATTTCAAAGAAGGTCATACAAAATACGACAACCTTATGATGCAAATCCCATGATTTGACATAAAAACATCCAATCCACCTTTCTTATACACTTCACTTTGTTCAAAATTTCCAACTCTTCAGTAATATGCGACAACTAAAACTCAATCATAATTCACCATTTTGAAAATACTCATCTCATGGTGCTACCTCAATATCCCAGGTTTTCCTTTTATATATATAATATAAAGATAAAGATTTTAATTATGTGTTTTATACTATAATTTTACCAATTGGTTGGTTTTGTTTTCAACCATGGTTATAAGTTTCAAAGCATCCATAACACTTTTATGCATCCATCATCTTCTTCCAAATATTTCCACCAATGTAAGATGATGAAAATCAACTTTAATCAATATTTGAGGAAGACTCAAACCCCATGTTGTAGATCCTCTCTCTCAGTGATTTGATGATAATCTTTTTTACCTTATACGAAGTATTTATGTTTCTGTCTTACAGTTCCAGCGATCATCACTGAGTCTGTTCAGTGATCGCTGAGAACATGAAATGTAAATCCATCAGTAATAGCGATACTTCAAGAAGACAAAACTCATACCAAAGAACCTTCAGCTAAAGTCGAAGACTGAAACTAAAGATTAGAGACTGGCGAGTTCATGATCTGAAAGCGGTATTCAGTGATTACAACCTGGTCTATACATATGTAAAGATTGCCCAAGCCTTAGCGAATGCTGAAGAGACATTCAGGTTATTCCAGCATTGAGCAATCAAAAGAAGCTTGTTAAGCAAGATTGTTTTTGTCTTGTCCTTATATACACAATGAACAAACTCATACCCTTTCTAGAGCATAATACGGTACGGAGCCGATTAGTTGACTCTACTACCCACCAACTCCATGAAAGGATGTCTGCTCATGAATATGTTTTTGTACTATTCACTGTAACAAAGGACACATCTTTCTCTAAAGGCTTGACACGTGTTCAAACCCTACTGCATTGCATTAAATGTGCATTTAATGCAATGTGTATAAATAGATGTGTTTAATCTCCATGCAGAGATATATCTTGAACCCTAACTTACGTTCATACGTAAAAGAACACACATCTAAAGAACACATTACGCTTATCTTCAAAAGCAAGTTAGAATCCCTTTTAAGTATTCTAACTAGTTCTTACCTAGAAAGAACATACTTTCTTCTAAATCTTAAACAACAAATCATTTCTCTTTGCTAAGAATTAGTGTGTAACTTAAATTGTTTAAATAGGTTATCTTTACCTTATCTTTTCACAAACAATCTTATAAAATCTGTATTGATCCTTCTTTATCAATATACATTTTAAATTTGAAAAATTTAATGTGTTTGTATTCATCCCGCCCTTCTACACACATCTTGTAGACCCTAACGGGACCAACAAGTGGCATCAGAGTAGTGTATTTTCTATTCTTGTTGTTTAGTTGTTTTTCTGCATTATATTATCTTTTTCTTTAGATAATCTTACTGCTTGCAAATGGATTTACAAAACAAAAACACACACTTTCATGACAATGGCTCTCTTGCCAAACCACCCCGTTTTATCCGAGGCAACTTTAGTCTTTGGAAAAATCGGATGTCCCTCTTTCTGTAAGGTGTGGTCCTGAAA